GTGCGCGCTACAATTATATCTTATTTAAAAATGTTTTGGTTATTTTTTAAAGTTTCTGAAAAACTGGTTTTCTAGAAAACTGGGTCCTCAAGAAACATCGGGAAAAATGCTTTAGGCCACTAGAATCAGCTCGTCGAGCTCTATCGAAAAGCTTTGGGTGTTTTTCAGAGTTCCTGAAAAACTGGTTTCCAGAAAACCGGGTCTTCGAAGCCCTAAGACCAGCTCTCATATTCATATTCGGAATCAGCATTATCGATAACCTATAACCCACTAGGTTTCGTTGAAAAAGCGAAGGGACACTTACACATGTTCCCTCGTAGAAATTTATTATATATTCATTAACAGCTTTAATTAACAGCACCTGACTCAGGCGCCATTTGGTCACGGGTTACTCAAATACAGTTGTTGATCTGTGGATATGTGATTGGTATTACAAATGCGTCATTGCGATTTGTTTGTTTTTTAATCTGTTTTTTCTCTTTACGCTCATGCCATATCCGAACTATCACGAACTCTATTCTTTTTTGAAAAAGTGCAGTAGATTGCAATGTATCTATGCACGAGTTAAGTGCGTGGGCACTTAACTTTAAGTCAAACTTAAGTTTGAAGTTGTGCAACACTTCAAGTTCGTCAACTTAAATTTGTCTCCAACTTAGATAAGACATGGACTTAATTGTAGACTTAAGTTGACGACTTAAGAATTTCTGTGAAACACCCTCCCGAACTTGTGTTCGAAACCCTTATATTACGAGAGTACTACAACAACTCCTAGAATTCAAAGTTTGTTGCTATAATCAACAGTTTGTTGAAAAACGCAGATATATCAGTAACGATTTCGGATCACAGAACCCTCAGTATATATTTTGAAAACTCTTGACATCAGCCATAATATGATCTAGAAAAAACTGTAAAAATGAGTTTCACTTTTTGATTTCATGTGTATTGATGAATATCGCAATTCTGAATATCTCAAAGTTTTGATTACGTGAGTCGTCATCGTTTGTGACTATAGACCATAGATAGAGAGCATCAATATCTTCAGTTTGAACTTTTCGATTACACGTTTATACGGGAGAGATATTTTGTACTTAAAAATATTCATTGCAAAATGCTTGTACCGATGGCACATTCCACAGAGGAGTAAGATATGTATTTGACTATTTTTAGTGGACGATTCTGACGTAAAAGCAGAGCTAGATACTACAAAACAATATTTTTCTACAAAAGTATATTAGAAAAAGATTTCTAATAAAAAAATCTATTCCAGAAATTGACATGGTTATATATCTTCAATACCACCTAATCCACCTCCCATATTCGTTCCTTGAATTGGATGGCGATGGTCAACAGATGAAAACTAGAAAAAATAGAGATCATTTTAACGCTTATTTGAGACACCTTCCTCACTACGTACAGTTAATAGAGGGGGTTGATTAACATTCAACGGTTTTCTTCTTCTACCCCCGCCTTCGGCATTACCAGATGAATCCGTCACACGTCTTTGACCAGTTTCTCGCTAAAAAAAGTATGAAAATATGATGACTTTTAAATCATTCGAAAGCAGTAGGCAGGTGCGGATCCAGAAAATTTCCTAGGACCTTTTGACCTGTAGAGCTAAAATCTGTAAATTATTTTTCTCCTACTTTGATCCACGAATGTTGTAATAGTTCACTCGCTGAAATTCGTTTTTTCGGATCTCTTTCTAACATTGCTTGTAGAGCATCTTTACATTCTGTTGACACTTTTGGTAGTAAACTAAAATCAATGTCCTTCGTGACAATATTTAACATTATTGCTTCATCATTTTCCCTTCAAAAAACGAAAGAGAAAAGGAATTTTACCAACTAGTTTCAGAAAAGACACTTACCCATCAAATGGTGCCATTCCACTCAACAAAGTGAAAGTAATTATTCCCAATGACCATATATCATTTTCAACAGAATATCTAAACAAAAGATTTTTCGTAAGGATTACCAAATATAATAATACACATTATATTTTTTAGATGATGAAAACTGACAAACAAAATTACGCTTTTCTTTCTGGTTTGTGAGAATGAAATGAATATTAAAACAGTAAACATTATTTTTGTAAGAAAAAAGAAAAGGTTCGAGCGAGGTTCGAACTCGCGACCTTCTGCGTGTGAAGCAGACGTGATAACCGCTACACCATCGAACCATGTGTCTTCTTGATAGAAATAGTTTAGTCATATAAAGCATTAATTACTCTCTTTTTTGTATAACTTCAGGTGCAATATACATTGGTGTTCCGCATATTGCTTTGGATCTGTTACTTTCAGATGTCATTGGTGGTTTATCCATTTCATTTTCATCTGGTTCTAGAATTGTTGTAGCAACTGGTAAAGAATTTTGTTTTATTTGTTGATCTTCTGATAGAGTTAGAGCTAAACCTAAATCAGCCAATTTTAATGTTACACTTCTATCAGGATGATTTGTAATCTAAATAAAACTAACATTAGAGATCTTCCCTATCCAATTAAAAGATAGTCTATTCACTAAAATATTTTCTAATTTGACATCTCGATGCACAATATTCAATGAATGTAGATATTTCAAAGCGGATGCTATTTGATAAACCATTAGAGCTGAATCGTGTTCACTGTACTTTGTCATGGCACTTATTGCTGTTAATAAATCACCGCTCTTCAATGAAAATATCACAAATAATTATTACTTATAAAGGACAATAAATATGAGACATACTGGAACATATTCAAAAACGAGAAAATATTTCATCTCATTTTGAAATTCTTCAACCAGTTTAATTATATTTGAATGTTTAACACGACGAAGAATTGCTAGTTCATTATCAATAAGAAATTCCTGAAATACAATATGAATATTTATTATTTATGTAATATAAACATATGGTCTTTTATCTTTCTCGCTCTAACACATTTCAAAGATGTTTTACTCAAACATATCTAGAAAATATCACATCAAGGTAGTGATTACTTACATATCCTTTACATCTTTCCTTATCGATAATTTTTAATGCCAACTGAATTCCAGTTGCTTTATCTTTACATTCATATACGGATGAAAATCTTCCATCACCAAGTGGTTCACCAACCGTATAATGTCTTAAAAATACTTCTGGAAATGTTTCTATTTCATTGTAGGCTTGAGCCGAAACATTTGCAGCGTACGGTGTACTTTTTCGCGATTGAATCTGGACTTGTTCGTTAATAATAGGTTTTGTGACAAAATTAGTTTGCTGATTCAATTTTAATCTTAGTCTTTCTAAACGATTAATAATTCTCAGTTCTTGATCTGTGATATGTAATTCTTCCAAAGTTATACGCTCATTTGTTGAAGCAAAATACAGACGACCTTGACGAAGTAAATCTAACGGATCCGTAATCTAAATATAAAAGTAAGACTGGATTGCAAAAACATTAACCTTTGATTAAATTTAAATGAAAAATTATACAAAATCTTCAATGGATATTTAAACACATTTTGTTTATATTTCGTATGTTTGTTCAAATAGTAAAAAAATAATAACATGACACAAAATGATGCGAGTTTTTCATAAATAGTTTCCTACTTTCATTCCTTGCGTGTTCCACAATGTTTTTATTGTATTTGGTTCTTCTAAAAGTGCTTCATTAACTAGATCAATGAGACTGTCCATTCCATTGTATTGAGTCGAATTTACTAATAATCTTACAATACGTCTTGGTTGTCTCGGAGAAGACTGTGCTCGATCGGCACCACTTCCAAATTCAGATTTACATTGAATTATGGTCACAATTTGAGATGGAATTTGAGCAGGTTTTTGCCATTCACTTGATGATAAAATATTTTCACTTGTATTTGGAAGATAAGGTAATATTGGTTGTTGAGGAATATTTGTATTTACTTGTTTTAAAACATTTTCTCCAATAATAAAATAAGATTGTTGTGGCCACTTTTGTTGACATAAATCAGCAGCATGTTGAGTAACATCCGACAGAGACATTTGAACTGTTCGCTGTGGACTTATGAGATTTATTAATTGTTGTCCAAGTAAATTTAAACTATGTGTAGAAAAGACATGATATTCTTTGGACACAGGCACCGCTTCAACAACAAACGAAAGTGGAAGAGAATCGTCGTTCAACATTATTCAAACTCTGAAACAAAATGAGAAGTATTATACTTACATAATCGTGTTTGTATTAGTATGACAGATTTAAAATAGAGACGGTTAAATTGGTTTTGCCCGTATGAAAAAAACACTAACGGATGATGATAAAACTTCTCAGGTAAAAGTGTTTAGTCATTTTTCACGACCTGAAATACGATTAAAAGAATCTGAAAGGGGTAGGTTAGAACCAGAAATCGCTGTTCTTTCAGGATATGTGTTCCCGAAGTTTATATATTTTGTTTGAAGAGGCGAGACTAGTCAAACTTTACAAGTCTCTAAAATGCGTTATGAACAGGAAAACGCGATTTCTGGACGATAAATTAATCTATTTCTATAAATATTTGAAGACTTTCTCTTTACAATGAAGTCCAAACGTTACAAAACAGTTCAGATAATCGAGGACTAAGCAGTTTTATTGAACGCTACTTTCTAAGCAACTACAGTAAGAGTACAAAGGTATAGATTTCGAAACGTTAATTTGTTTAAACATAATAAATTTGACCGGTTCTTGTGGGACAAAAAAAATAGTCCGTTCAAAAGGGATTCGTTCGAAAGGGAAAAAATATAAGAATTTTGTAAACTCATATTTTCTTAAAAATTTACATCATCCGTTAAGTATTTAGCAATATCACTTTTTATTTAGTGACAAATCTCTGGAGAGAACGTCTGTTTTTGACTTTTAATTATTTCTTTACAAAAAAAAATAAACATCTGTTCAAAGACAGAAAGTGATAAAACATATTTACAACATAAATAAATATTTCACAAATAACAAGTTATTGATCAATAAATGATAATATCATGACTAGTCAATGTATGAGTTTATTCGTACTACTGTGTCAAACATCGTTCTAACGGTATGCTCGAATTCGCAAAAGAAGTAGAAAAGTATTGCATACACTATAAACATTACAATATTGCAACACAAAGGAAATAAGCTCTTTTTTTACTACCCAGTCGGTCATAGTCATTCCAGAAAAGCGCAGGAAACTCTGTTTACGAAAAATTTTACGCGTTTAGCGAGTTTCGAATAATAACGCGCAAGAAGCTGCGAGTGTGTAAAAATAAACCGCTGGGACACGCATGTACAGCCTTTGTTTCCACGGCAACGTGCGTTTCCTGCTGTTATTTTTACACACTCACAGCTTCTTGCGTTATTATTCGAAACTTACTAAACGCGTAAAATTTTTCGTAAACAGAGTTTTGTGCGCTTTTCTGGAATGACTATGACTGACTGGGTAGAAACAACAAACAATGTTGCAGGAAAAAATTATTCACAACAATAAAAATAAAAATTCGTCAGAGAAACGAAAGAAGTTTGATTATTGTCATTGGTAATGGGGTTTTTTTGTTTCTGTTATCTCAAAGAGAAGAAAATCATCTTTCATTTACCTATGATGGAAGAACTTCAAAATTTTTAATCTGTCTCGGCGAGGATTTTGGTTGTTCAGTAGCTGTCGGCAAAATTTTAATCACAGAATCATGACGATGCCCAACATTATTGCATCTACTCCTCGTGCACTTTCGATAGCAATTTTCTTCTCGTACATTTCTCGACACGTTTTTAATAATGTATCGATTTGTTGTTTGTTTTTTGTCATGTCGAAGAATAGAATGGCTAAATTCAAATACGCTATGGTATTAGTGGGATCCAATTTGACAGCGATTTCATACACTTGCATAGCATTGTCAACATTATTCAATTTAGCCAATGTCAAACATAAAATAAAATAAATTTTCTGATAATTTTTCCGTTAAAATAACAAGAAAAAGAGAAAGAATATCACACGATAAGAGGACCTTTTCAAAGTTTCGACTTTTTCTGTCAAAATAGTTATTTGTATGCATGATTACTAAGGAAAAGCTAATTTTTACTTCATTCTTTTTTTTCAGTGAAATAGGAAAAAATAAAAGACAAGTGCGTTTAGCAATGGTATACAGAATTTTCTGAGGGATTGACTAAATATTTGTATGCATGGAAAATTTTCTGTTGGAGGGCACTTCAAGTAGAACCCTTCTAAAAGACTCTTTTCTCTGTGTTTGGTTTGAAGAATAAATGAGATACTAAACGCAGGACATAGATTCGCTTTGCTGATGCTCTAATTACTGAGCTATATGTTCTGATCACTATCCGTTACACGTTGCTAATCATTAGTGATTGATTATAGATGTCATGATCTATCTGTGTTCACGAGTCGCTCACCCTATTTCTCTTGTTACACATAAGTCATTATATAAGCAAAGAATGAAAGTTCAACCGATGCATGGTCAACCTAAAGTTTGCATATTTGTATGGCAACGTAGACATACATTGCCACACATTCAACCCAATTTGCGCTATTATTCCTACATAGATTACTATAGAAGTATCATACGACCATTCAATCTGTTTTTCCAAGAAAAATATTTGAAAAGTTGAGTGATACTTACTACAAATTCCTAAATTTGTGAATAGCTGCAATGATTCTGAATTTTTTCTTGCTCCTTTTTCACAGATATTTTCAACTTCATCATCGCCACCTTCCAATCGATATATTTTACCTAAAGCCAAATAAGATGAGACTTGATCTGACACTTGAATCGGTTCAGTTGGACAATCTGCTTAGCTGCCGGACAATCTTTCATGTTCATATAACACAGATTCAAATTGCGTAATACTTCCCAGTCAAAAAAGAAAATGAATAATTGATTTCGTTTTAACAAAAATCTTTTTAGCTAACAGACCCTCCCAAAATTTCAACAGCCCACCCGAAAAACGAAACCTAGATAAGACACTGTGGATACATCAACAGACCATTTCGATGTAAGCAGTGGATTTACAGGAATCGCTTCTGTAGGGGTTGGGGACTTAATTTTTGATGCATTTGTGACATCGATAATAATATCCGCATTTATACAGCAAAAAAGTGAATAAAATCAAATAAAAAGTCTACCATGCACACGCAACTGCCACGAAATCCATCAATCATCAGTTAAATGATTATTCGTTTTCTAAATAGACTTTAAAAAGAGATAATATGAAAAATACGTGGACAAGAGACAAGGTTTGAACACGATTGATCGTAACAATTCTTTGACAGTTCAGTGGAAAGCATTCATTTTACTACTCGTTGTCATGTCAACGCTCTGCTATGAGCAGACTATAATAGATCTGATCTATATCTTAAAACTTTGGCTTGCTTAGCAGAATTTCTCTCAGTAAAAAGTGTGGCAGATATATTTCTTTTAATACTAACGATTTTCTAAATGCATAGATGATGAGAAACCAACAGCCTAGCAACATGGCAGCGTTGTTAGGGTTTTCCTTTTTTCTTGTTTCCGTCAAATTTCTTAGATGTTTTTCTACCGGATTTGGGATTAGAAAGTAGAATCATTGAGTGTGGCTAGACTTATCGGGCAGACAGTCTTTTATAAACAAGTGAAATATTTGTGTGCGTATACCAATATTTCATAGACAGTCGGAATTTAAACGGCTATTTACTAGTTATTTCGATAGACAGCTGCAAGCTAATCGTGATGTTCCTCTTTTTTTGCAAAACTATAAGTTCGCATATCGTATGAATAAGTGAACTGTTTATTCATTTCAGATCTGTTTGTTTATTCGATTTAAGCGGTATAATGGCACTTTATACAACAGAGGATGCAAAATATTTAAAACGGTATGGTTACTTATTTATTTTCATATAAATTTTACAGGAAATTTGTTTTTTCTTTATTTAGTCGTATTCGTGGTGGTCAAATTGACGTGCATCCAACAGAAAAAGCCCTTATAGTTAATTATTCGATTGAAGCAACAGTACTGGATGAATTTCAACAGACTATGTTGGGAGATAAGAAAGATGCGCAGAAAATGTAAGTTGATTGTTTTTGGTCTGTAAAAATTTGTATTTATTAACTAGTACATAAGTTTAGTTTTAATGCAGAAATCTTTTGAGATAGTGTTATTTATTTAATGCACAGATAATTATGAGATTTTAAAATAGTTTGCTGCTCATCTATTCTATGTTATGAACGACTTTAAGCCTAAACACTCTTCTTTCTAGATTTGAACACATAATATCTTGTGACATAACTCTATCAACAAATGTTTTTGTCTGTTTGTTATAGTATTCGTTTGAAAAGTTTGAATCCAAATACAGATATTCGTGCATTAGCCAAAGAAGTTATTAGTCAATGTAAATTGATACATCCCACAAAACGATTAGAAGTTGAACAACTATTATCTTATTTACAAAATAGACGAGATACAGCTCCTTCAATGACAACATCAGGAACAGGAACTCAAAAACCAATTTCAGATGAATTAGAACAACCGTCGATCGATTTTCAACTAACAGAAACAGCAAATATAACTGATATCGATGATTATGCAGAATTACTCTACGACAATGTACCAGATAAAATAAAAGGATCGGCACTTATTTTACAACTAGCAAGAAATCCCGATAATTTGTCAGAAATATATCAAAAAGGTAATTTATTTAGATAAACATGCTATTCCAATAGAAGTCATTGAAATATCTTTATTTTTCTTTGTAAAATGTAGTTTTTTATTTAATTTTTCCGTATAATATTTTCTGTTGTACTCTCTTTAGATCAACTATGAGACAATATGTTTAATTTTATTTGTTTTTTATTTTTAGAAAGTGTTTTGAACGCTCTAGCTCGTGTTTATAAAGACGAATGGAAAGCTAGTATTGAGTTGGCAACAAATATTGTTTATATATTTTTTTGTTTTTCATCATTTACTGATTTTCATGGACTTGTGGCACAATATAGAATTGGAGCACAAACAATGACTGTACGTCGTATTTATCATTTAATTTTTTTAATCTATCGAAATATTACTGTTTTATTTATTTTAGATAATTGATGCTGAAATGAAAAAATATGATCAATGGATGGATGAAATTGCCGAAGAGAGAAAGAAAAAATCACAAACAAATAATATCCTTTTTTGTTTATACGTTCTATTATGTCTTCAAGCTTTTTGTAAAGAATACAATGAGGAATTTTCTTTCACTTTATCAGAGGTGTAAACATTTTTTTCTAGTATGAACAATGAAATTTATAGATAAAATTATTTTTTAAATTCTCAGAGTTTACAGTTGATTAAAGCAATAGTAAATTAGTTGGATATATTATTTTGTTTTTGCACCTCTATTGTATGCATTTCTCCTTAATATCGATCTTTGTACATGATACAAAAGGGATTTCTAGTCGTACAACAATACCTAGTATACCAGATAAATATAAAACGTTAATTCGTAAACAAGAGCAATTCCTTCGAGGTATGTATCATTCAACTTCTCTTTAAATATATTTATATTATTTTTGTTTCTACTCTGTTTTAGTGGCATTTTATCTACTATTGAATTTAGCTGAAGATTTAAAAGTTGAATTAAAAATGCGAAATAAAATTATTTGTAGTCAACTTATACATGCTCTCGATCGTGATAATAATGATTTACTTATATTGGTCGTCTCATTTTTGAAAAAATTATCTGTATTTGTAGAAAATAAAAACGACATGGTAAGTACAAGTTTAATTGTAGTAACTAGTGTAACAGATATAGTAAAAAAACGTTTGACATCTTCGACTAGAATTGAATTGTAATTATGATATAGGAATAATGTATTTAATAACTAACAGACAATAGTTTGTCTGTAGATTCTGGAGCTCTGTGTGGACTGCTCTAAACTCCAAAAACAAAATTCTAGAATTGACTTGTATTAAGAAAGCAATAATGGGAAACATGCAGTACTGTTAAAGGCAATTGCAGCTGTGAAACTCACTAAGAGTGAGACATGGATCCATACAGAGCTCACTCTGGACGTTAAAGTGGCTTGACACAACTGTTAAACAAAAAAATAGTGCTTTTTTCGATCAAATCTTTCTATTTTTGTTTTACTGGAATGACTCTTAAGAAAGGGCCCGAAACTGATCGTAGTATCTTCTTTTGATTCTTTCAGAAATGAATTCTGTCTGAGTCTTTCGTAACTACAAAGTGGTTGTAAAATTAACTAAATATAAAAAGAGTTAAGTATTGTTCATTCAATTCATTCTCCTTTATAAGGTTAAAAATTGATAATTTTTTTTTTGATCAACGTATTTACTCTTCAAATTGTTGTTTGTTGAATTATTTTGAAAAAATTTCGTTGCGACAACAAAACATTGTGATGAATGAAAAATGCAGCTATACTTTTTGAATAGAATTATATAACACAGAGAAAAGTGAAATAGCCTTCACTGCATAGCAACAAATTAAAATATAATATTTTCGTGATAATGTCAAACTTCATCGATGAATAGTAGAATAAATTATCAAGAATGAACAATGTACAAACTTTTTACACACGTTTCTATAATGTAATTAGTCTTATTTGACCTTATTTTTTTTCTTTTCTTGCAAGTTCAATGGTTTCTCTTGATTTTGAAGGTAAACTCTTCATTTGGATGACCATAACATATTTGATCATTTGAAGAAATACTACATTATGTCGCATCACAGTGGTATTTTAAGTGGAATACTATTGTTGGCAAAAAAAAAAAAAATGTTCATATTTACTTTTTATCATTTTCTTCTTTTCTTTTTTTCTTATTGACTTTAAAATAATTGTAAATTATACGAGATGACTATTGTTATTTAAATGTAATACAATCTCTCATTACATTTCGCTCAATTAAACTTCTCATTTCATTTCAATTCGTTTACTACAGTTACAAAATAGATTAAAGTAGGTAATAGATGCCCTAATCAAAAGAACGACATAATGAGAACAAAAAAAAAGAAAAAAACCTAGAGACGAAAAGAGAAATCGATTATTAGAAGAAAATTTATTTGTTTTGTAATATACAGGTTTTGTCTACTTAATAGTAATATATCTTTTTGAATATGATCGAAAAGATCACTTTTTCTTTTTTTTTCTGATAAACGTTATGGTTTTACAATGAATAATTGTCTTGTGTGATCATACTGTGTGATTTTAGCACAGTAGAATATACTCTATGTTTCAACATGTTGAATTTAATATGTTTCAACGTTTTGTATATTGATCAAATCCGGTATGTTATGTTCAAGTTCTCTTTTTTCAAGGTAAATTTAATAAGGGACTTGCAGCGATTACTTTTTTTACGATATTGCTTTGTGACTATAAAATTTTGTGCAATAATATCCGGAGTTTTTCGATTACTCCACAAGTTACAATAGCACTATCTATTTGACAAAAAAAAATTTTTCAATCTTTAGTAATGTTTCTGGATATGGGAACTGATTGCACTTCGAAAAAGTCGATATTTTTTTTTGTTTCGTTAAACATCCATGAAGAATTATTCTCTGTGGACTGTAGGATGCTGCTTGCTAAAGACTCTTATTAATCGCTTATCGAATTAATAATTGTTTCTTTCACTTTTTATAATAGTATTCGTGATGGTCAAAACTCGAATTATTTCAGTTATTTATGAGTGTGTGTGTGTGTGTGTGACAGCAGTTACTTTCTATATTTATTTACAAATAATAGATGTGGTGACAGTTTGTGTTGACAGCAATAAATATACTAGAAATTCAAACTTCGTATGTGAGATAATGAGAAGAGAGATAGGAGTAAAAGTTATTGTTGAATGATAGTAGATTTTATCAAGTATGATATTATGTTTCTGATACGAGACACGTATACGCTTTCACATAATCACTCTTTTTTCTTGATCAAGGTCATCAATAGGTTTAAATGATTAGAATTTTTATAAGAATATCATAGGCTTTGATATAACTCGACTCTTAAGAATTTCTGCTGAAAATAATAGATGTTTAGTCTACTAGAAATGACGTAAAATTTTTTATAAGAATGTATAGCATTTCTAGTGGATCTTATCAGAAGTTGAAATGCGAGAAAATTCTACTGTATGAATCTAGCAAAAATTCTACAGTATTTACATGATCTACCCTTACATAGTGCTTAAGGTTAGAATCTATTAGCAAATTAAAAATTCCGTTTTTTTATCTGATATGTTTAAACAAATAATGTATAGCCATTTGTACCGTTTCAAAAACAAATTTCTGATAACAAAGTTAAACAGAAACGTTAATTTAATAGGTCTGTCACGAGATGACACTATCGAAACATAATCTAGGCCTCTGTCATAGATTATTTCTATATGTAGTTACGAAACTGAGTTTTTTCAGACTAATATCAGGAATGTTGTATCAATGTATTCGCCTACAGTTAAGACATAATGCACAGGTAATGAGATAGTCGTAAGTCAAAACAAAGTACGTAGAGTATTTTATGAGAAATATAATTTTTGTTTTAATCAGTGCAAAAGAAATGTTTTCTAGAATGAATTTAAAGCTTATTTTCCTCTCAATCTGTAAACATATCTATAGTATATCATTTGAGGATATTTCTAAGTAGTTTTCGACTGTTATTGAGTCAGAATCTAGGCTTTAGTCTCTCGCGGATCATAAATCTCAGACACGTATACTAAAACAAAAATCAGCGAAGTTAAAAAGCCCACATCAAACATCTGGAAAATGAAGTATAGTTTGAAAAATTTGTGTTTACAATTAATTGAGATTAATATTATTCTGTCTTTTCAGAGCGGTTCAAGATGATGATCTAACCTTCATCTCTTCTCTTTCCTCTATGCATGACTCAAAGAACAAATTATCCATTGCGCTCTCTCCTCTCTCTCCTCTCTCTCCCTCCCCCTCTCTGCCTTTCTCTCTGCTTTCGTCTACTTTTCATCACACTTCTAAGAGAACAAGACGACAATATAACGACAACTAGTTTGAAAGGTTGTAATTATCGTTGTTCATTCAAATTTGAGCAGTTTAAGAAATGGGCGGCAATCATTTAGTTTTTCTCTCGTGATCATTGAACTTTCTTTTTATAGACTAGTAGAAATAAGATTCGGATAGAGTCAAAAGAGATCAGAGAATTTAGTATGATATGCGCAATAAAACAGATTGAGGAAAGAGTATATTTTTACTCGTATTTGTTGTCACATCTTGCTTCTGATAGACACGGTACTTTCAACAGATTTATTAACTTTCGATGATATTTAAAACTTGACATATGTGTATTGTATTTACAACCGCCAAAGTTATATATAAGACATATAGTCATTGAATAAAATTAAAATGAAGTATTAATATTTTTTCTTTTCAAGTTATGTTTATTTAGTATCCTACTTTATTCTCTTTTTATTTGCATATTTGAATATGTTACCTCTGTACCAACAATTATTAATAGTGTTTTATTTTATCCATAGTTTAGGGAGCGTTTCAAAATGTATTCTCGGTCGATCGTTATTTTCCTATTTTGTTCATTAGGTCGGTATAGCTATGATACAACATAGAACTGGGAATTGTTTTTTACACAATTGCCTTGTTTTATGGATCAATACATTTTTGATCCTGGAAATTAAGCACAATTAATCCCGTCTACTAATTTTCGCGAAAAAATGCACAAATGATCCCGGTTTTGCTAATAATTTTTAATTACTTATAAAATAACACAACTGATCTCGAAAAAAGCTATTTTTTTCCTTAAATAACATAACTGATTCTGGGAAATTAGCAAGTCATGGCACCGTCTTTCAATCTGGAGCTCATTGAGTAGCTATGTGGTCTTTTAGTAGTTAAATGTACTTCTTTATCATCAAATTCTTTATCCAAATATTACAAGATTTTTTTTAATGTAGTGACGAAGATGAGTTATTAACAATCACCAAAAAAAATAATATATGTAAAATTGTACAGAACAACTTGATTATGGATTATTTTATACATATATTTGTTTAGAATATCCGAAATATGCATAATGTAAATTTAAATTAAAAGTAAAATAGGCATCTGATGCTACATATAAATTATTTTTATGAAATCTTTTGCCACAACATCCATGTTTTGTGCAGTTAAATCCTATGATGAAAGTGAGACCAAATAGCTGCTCAATGAGCTTCAGATTGAAAGACGGTGCTATGACTTGCTAATTTTCCGGGATCAGTTATGTTGTTTAAGGAAAAAAATAGCTTTTATCCAGGATCAGTTGTGTTATTTTATAACTAATTAAAACTTAATAGTAAAACGGTTAATTAATTGTGCTTAATTTCCGGGATGAAAAATGTAGATGTTCTTGTTTTAATTACATAAACCTATATAACGTGTGAAATCATTTTTTTTCTTTACAAATGATGAGGCAATAGACAGAGAAGCCATGTTGTTTCTATATTTTAGAATATACATCAGCATTTTCAACGAAGTTCTGTCTCTCTAGCATTTTCGGAAAATGTTTACCGGAACATCTGATTTTCACAAATTACGAGCTTCTTGCGCTCTGCACATAACTGCGTAAAAAAGACTGATGAATAAAATGAACATAAAACAAAATTTTGAGCAATATTCTTCTCTTTTTCTGTGATGAGGCAGGTAAATACCAGATCTGTCATCGATGGGAGCTATTATTCTGCAAATCCCAAATTGAAACCAGAAGTACAATGTTTTTCTTTATTTCCTCGAGCAATCTGATAAAAAATGCTTCTGTTTCGTGATTAATCTCACCGTTCATTAAACCTGATCCGTCCACCTGGAGTCCGTGCAGACCCCAGACGAAAACGAGTGCTTTGAAGATGTGTTTTGCTGCTCTGCCAGATAAATAATGAGTGGATGCAATGAGTTCATATTGATAGTACATCCTCTTGTCATTCAGTGGAATATAAAGTGAAGCGGTAAAATCTAATCGTTGTGTTCAGGCAGTGTCCAAATGAAACCGATAGAATTTGGACATATTATAGGTGGTCGGATCAGGGTTAATAATATCATATATAGAAAAAGACACTTGAGTTTGAACTGAATGGAGAACGGAATACAAATTATTTAATTTTTACGCTGTTGACAGAACAGTTTTGAAAAGAGATATTTTTTCCACTATGGGTACACTGTTCTAACGTAGAATTTGGTTTTTTGGGCGTAGAATAATACAATTTCAAAAGATCGTATGCTTTCAGGAACAAAAAAAAACACGACAGGCCGAAAAAATCTAGTCTTGCTCAACTTTCTCGATATACCACATATATTTCCGCTTTTTCACACAATAATTTTTGCGTACAATGTCAAATGTATATAAATCATAATTTAATATTCGAATATATTGGCAAACAGCAAACAATTAGGACCGTTATCTTTTCGATTTTTTCATTTTATAATTCTGACCGTTGTCTAATCACTTCAAATTTGACCATAAATAGACAATTATTCTCATTTTAGCCCTAATTCTGTTCTCTAAAAAATCCTTGTCATCATACATAAGATAGATTAAAGCAGACGACAAAGTTTTTTCTTATCGAAAAATTGAAATGCTCGTAGTATTTTTTTCGTTCGTGCCTTAGTCGAACAGTAAATTCTATTTGGAAAAAAGTTTTAGGCAAATCTAATCTCTAGGAAAACGCATTTGTTTAAAGTTTTTGGAGCTTTTTACAACGATCAAATCGTATATTGACAATAACGTCAAATTTTTGATGATAATAAGTTATACTACAAAAACATTTTTGGAAACAGATCAATATAAATAATATTTGCTATGCGAATATCTCATATTTAAAAAATGACCTTATAAAATAGTTCAGATTCTAAAAAAGGTTAGAAAGATAGAATTTCGTTGAAAATGTTGATGTGCATTCTAAAATATGAGAAACATGGATCTTCTGTCTATCGCCTCATCATTTGTAAAGCAAAAAAATGATTTTACACGTTATATAGATTTATGTAATTATAAAACAAAGCAGTTATGTAAAAATCAGTTCTCAGTTGTATGTTGTATCATAGCAATACCGATCTAACAAACGAAATAGGAAAATAACGATCGATTGTGAACACATGTTGAAATGCTTCCTTCTATTTAATGAATTGTTAATAATAACGAAAAAAATTTCTCTGCTACTTCTAAATTTATTCACATTATATTCATTGATAGTAGATATTGATGTGTCTGAATGACCGATGTTATAAAAACAAGGAGAAAAAATGAAAAATTATTTTTTTGTAAAACCATTTAAAACTCTAGACCATCTATATTTATATAATAAGAGATTTAATGTGTAATAACTAGTAACTTTATTTCCATTGAGTATTTACAGTAAAAGTAAGTAGTTACAGTATTGTTCATGTATAAAACAATCATTCTCAGTAGGGTTCCTAGACTATAATTTTTATCCGTTTAAAACTAAATTCAATAAAACTAATTTTCGTTTTATCATAGACATTTTTTTGTTTGAGTGAATGAACTTGACAAGTTGAATGGCCTTGATTTTTATTTTCCACAACTGAACAAGTCTTTACATTTATATCCTATACTCAGTTAACAAATAGAGAAAAAAAATTGATTGGCACATTCATAAAATATATCATTATCACCCGTTAGTTAAACAGTCAAAGAAAAGCGAAAAGAAGAAACTTTAACAGAATGATTAAAATCAGAAATATCCGCAAGCGTGTATGAGTACGTATTTCATATACACCATTTTTTTTATTGGTATGAACTTATCATTAATAGTTTATTCACACGCATTTATTTGTCCTTTGATTAAGTAATCGTGATGTTGAAAGTTAATTTTATACATACCTGTACAAGGTTAATAGGCTACGTTTATACCCGATATTCAACTGTTTGCGTAGATGATAAAATGAAACAATGTGCTGTTAAATATTTCGTTTGAGTAGTCGCTTTGGGTTTTCTTTTTCTTTTTGAATACTAATTTTGTAATAGAACCCTGAATAGACAACGATGTACAGTACTAGTGTCCATGGACATGGACAGTGATCCATTCAAGGCTTCACTTTGTAGATATTAAAAGAAAACTATAGGTAAAAATATAACAAAAAGTAAAAGTGTTTATCTCCCATTTGCTGTTATTATTATTATTATTATTTTCGCTTTTCTTAACCAGTTTAAAGTTTTTCATATACAGCCATAACGAAATTTGACCTTTATATCTTTCTGTCTCTCTCTCTTTCTTGTTTAATGAGCTAAATTTATGATCTCATAGTAAAATCTGTTTTCGTTTATATATATCATTGTATAAACGTATATTTACATCTCAATTAAACGTTCCTGATTAAACACTAATTTGTTGAATGGAATTTAATCCATTGTAATTTTAACACTTTTTCTCTCTTTTTTCTTAAATGCTGGTAAAGTATCTAAATAGAGTTTTTTTTTATTTTTGTGCAAAACAATCGATGTTTCGAATTAATTGTGGTCAACGATGAGTGAAGAAGAAGAAAAGAAATACCGATAGAATTATTCGTATTACTCTACTCTAGAAATAAAACGTGAGAAAAATATGTACACATTTATGAAGAGAAATCCCACACACTAATACGTATGTACATATGACTGTTCGAGTAATAAATCTTGACGACATTCATATTTTCCACTCAAACTCGACATGTTTCATTCCGCTTGAATTAATTCTAAACGTTTTTTTTTTCATCTTAGAAAAATCCAGTTATCCTCTACTGCGAAGAAAATGTTGTAAAGTCCAGTAGATTATATCTGGCCTAACAAGGCAAACAATTTTGAAGAATTTTTTAGAAATAAGTTGACTGTTTTTTTGTGCAAGGATGTTTTCTTTTTCTCTGGGAAAAGAAGAGAGGGAGCCCAGTATGAGAAGTGATCATTATCATCGTTCACCTCTCTGAATTCGACTTTAAGTGAGATTTCGAGACAATATGAATAAATTTTCCAAAAGGTATATATTTTGTAATATTGAATATATCGGCTTCAATCTTGGATATTATTGTCTATTACTCTATTTTCTCACGATAGGTAGAATATTGTTATCTTTATGAAATTGTCATGGATAGAATACTTATTTATTAGTATGTTTTACTTATGATTTGACACATGATTATAACTTTCTGTGTGATAAATTTGTTGTTTTATTCAAGCTAAATTAAATAATATATATAATAATATATGCAGATTCAATAAAATTATGTTAATCTCATTGATGTCTTCTTAAACTGACACCGTTTGTTGACCGAAAGATAGCTCTTCATGAATAATTTCTATAACGAAATGATATTAACAAATTAAGTAGAGTTCAATCTGTTTATTTAATGTTTCATTCTACATTCTTCGCGGCTAAGATTAGTTTTTTTTCTTCTTTTTCATCTTCTTAACAATCAAAACAGAAATATTTATTAGTACAGAGATTATCAAATATTTTCATATTATATTATTTAAAAAAATCAATGAAACAACATAACAATTGTATACAACTCATTTTTAAATATGAAATATAAACGAGATTTTCTTATGTTTATCGAATTAGAGCAGCATATATGTTTTCGTCTATTTTTTATTATTGTGATTTTAAGATATATCATAGTGTATTTTTCGCCTTTTCAACACCATTAATTTGTTTACTAGACTATTCTACTATCTGTAAAATAATCACATGTCTGCTGTTTTGTGGCAATAGTTTTGTTTGAACTGTCTATCTATCTTCTTATTTGACGTTAGTTTATGTCATTTGTCTTCTTCAAACAAAAACAATTAATTGTGTACTGGTAATAATTTTTGTTGAATAGATCGAGAAGAGATGCGGAGGAGTTAATTAGTTTGATATTCATAATAAGTAGAACAATAATTGGTTTTTTTTTTCATCGACAATAACTATAAAAAACTTGCGTTATACAGAGAGAGAGAAAGAGAGAGAGAGAGCGAGAGAGAATCGAACAAAAAGAAAGAAAAAGAAAAAGTGCCGAGTATTTTTTTTTTCTCTCCTTTTTTATTCTTCTTGTTGTTTGTGCAATATGTGGTTTTGTGGTTGCTCGAAAACATACGCGTATGACTATAAATTAGTTAACAAAATGATCATCAAATGATATAAGATGTGCTCGATTAGTAAATGATTGTTAAAGAGTAACCAGGTTTGATAAAAACATATTATATAGATTAATCGTAATCTGAACTCATTTTTTTCCTTGTACAACTTGTGATTGTTATTAAAATCTCGGCAGCTATATTATAATTATAAGAGGATGATTATCATCATACTTAATATTTTGATATATTTCTAACGGCAATAATTTTTCATATAAGATTCTTATAAATTTGCTATTCTACTATTTTTGTTTCATCACACATTATTCAATTCAGATTTTTTCATACGAATACTTGTCTAGTTTCTATGATAATTAAAATATGAGTATAAATGTGAAAAATGGAGGTCATTTTCGACTCTTTCGTCAACTGTTGATAATGAGAAAAGAGAATAATCAAACGTTGATTAGTACATTTCGTTTTTTATTTCTAACAGTGAAATAAAGTTACTCAATTACTTTAAATAAATATTATTAACGATTATTAAAATATTATCTGTCTTATGCAGGTGTTACTCTTCATAATTTTTTCTTCATCTTATATTTCGTTTTTTTTTTCTTTTACAATATAATCCAATCTATACACACCTTTACATTTAGTCTTTATGACTAGGATCATTTGAAAGAAAAGATGTAAAATGTATAGAAAAACATATTTATAAGTATCCTAAAATTTATGTTACAATAAATTTTCGTTTTCTTTTCTTCTTTTTTTTTTACTTCTTTTTAAAGATGAACCTTGAAAGAGATTTTGTGATTTGAAACAATAACATTAACAGAGTTGTTTGTTTATGTTAATGACACTTATAAAGAATCTATCTGTCATGTACATTAATTGTATAACCAATTTAAAAAATCATCACTAACAACATATTAGTAATTTTGATCAACTTTAAGTAGGTTACATTGGACTGTCTGATTTTATTGAGTGTTCGTCGTTCAATGTCAAGAAGTGTCTGTAAATATATTCTATGTGAAACTTTTTTCTTTTTTTTCTTTTTTGTGTAAATAATTTTCTTTTAGATTTTTTTTTCTTTAAATTTTCCGGTGGTTTCGTTTTTCTAAATGCATAACGGTTTTTCCCATAGTTTCTACACTCATCCATCTTCGTATAACACTTATTATTCATCCTCAACGTCGCCCTTGTATTTTGAATCATCTCGAAGTCGTTCACCATCTTATTCATCTTATTCTCGTTCATTATCACCATTATCATTTCAACATAAATTTAATGAACATCAATTTTTTGATAACGGCAACGATCAACAATCATCAGAAAAGAAAAAGCCTACATCAAAATCGAATATAACAATTACTCGTCCAACAACAGTTGGAAAAGGTAAAAATTATGACTCAGTAGCAAAACTTGTTGAATTGCTGACGAGTAAAACAGCACAAACAGCAGTTAAAATCGATCTTCAAGATGATATTGAACCACCAATTATTACAGATATACCAGCTAAGAAAGTGGATGATGAATCGCGTTATTCGTCATTTTTATCCATGACATGTTCAAGCGATTCATCAACATCATCAAGCTCATTTTCTTCTCGATCTAATTCATCGATTTCAACTGTTACAAAAAATGAAGAAGAACAAGAAGAAACAGAAGAAATTATAGAATTAAAAGATGAATGTAAGTATTTTTAATATAATTTTTATCTGAAAGAGCCTGCCTGTTCTTGTAAATAGGAGTCGTGAGACTGAATTTATACCTAGAGCTTTTAATATGATACTCAAAAGCATTTTATTGATTTTCGTTCTTATCGACAATGAAATTCTGAGAAGTTTTTTCATGCTATCATTCGTTAAATGAGATTAACAATATTAAAGAAGAGGTATTACTAGTTCGTCACATTTTATGACAGCATTTTCTTATTCTTACTATGAGTTTTAATAAGGAACACAGTTGAGAATTATTCATGACCGCATGAAAGTTTTTTGTACGTGTAACCACACCTTGACAGATTAAAAATTAAAGACGAAAATAGAATCGGAATAGTTGAACGTTTGAGACATTGTCTTTCAAGATTATTTTATCTAAACAGTGTTAACATGCACATGTATTGCATGAACAATCAGAGGTGATGAAATCATGAGGGCTCAGATTTTGAAAATTTTCGTTTTCTTCTAGTAGAAACTTATTTGTTCTTTGTGTTCTTGTCCTTGAGTACTCATAGTTTCAGAATCATTCCGGCGCCTGCGTGAATAATTTGACAACTGAGGTGAGGATTTCAACTAAAACAAGCTCATAATTATGTAGACGAACATTGCTAAACTGCAGATTTAACAAATAATACAAATTTCATAATTCCAACTTAGGTGGCAATAGACTAAAGACTCCCCTTGACTAAGAAATGACGATTTTTGTCAAAAATATCGATAGTGAGAAGAGTGCATAAAGGTATAGCCTTAAGTGTCCTCTTCGAAATGCACGATAGATATGTATATGTGGCACATGTACAAATGGTCAAACCTATAGAGAAGAACTTAGCTATACCTTTAGGGGCCAAAACAAATCAAAAGATCATCGACTTAGCAAAAATCGCCATCGGGCAGATTTCTCCGTAACAAAAAATTAGAATGGAGTCATTGTTTTTTTAATTTGAAGCTAAGAGATATGGAACAATGTAAAAGAACCCCATTCTTGATTTCGACCGTCATTCTTTTATACTAGTGAAAGTGATACACTTTCTTTTAGCTTTTGAAGCAAAATTCTTTGGAAAATAAAACGAAGTAAATTCAAAATTTCGGTTCTCTTACGTTGTTCCCGTAACAGAATCTGATATTTTAAAATCAACTCGAGCTCTTTACTACTCTTTGAGAGGAGAAATCTACTGGATGGTCGATGTCCCGCTTTGGTCGTTATTCAAGCGACCTCTATTGAAAGAAAATATGTGGCGTCTTCAAAATTTTATCAGAATTATTCTTCTACATAATCAACATTCTCTGAAAGTTTACTTCAGATCGAACTTCGAGTTACCGAGATAGGTTTCTGACTCGAAGGCCGTAATTGAAACTAAAAATAGCGTTAAATCTTGATATGAACGTTAGTAGGGACGGGGATAAGTTTGATATAGATGTGTAGTATCCTTGAAGGATAAACCTAAATGTGCCTGCTTAAGATGATTTAGCTAGATTTTAAAACGTGCGTCGGTAATAACGAATACCTATGATTAACTCACAGATACATTTTTGTAGCTACAACTTGATTAGGCTATTCTCTTCATCAACACTAAATTTTGTTTATCTTTTTTTCTAGATTGTTCGTACCCGTATACAACCGATGATAAAGATGCTGTTGATGTTCAAGATAAATCAGATAGTGTTCCAATACCATCTCTAATCCAATCACCGACATCAGCTCAAAACCGTGTACCAGCTCTTGGATTAAATATTACCGCTTCTTTCGTTCATCTAGTCCTCTTAGAACGTTATCCACAAAATATTGACTATAATATTGTTTTATTTCAACGATATTTACTATCACTTATCGACAATTTTGAATATAAACAATGGTCGCCCATTTCAAACATGCAACTACCAGATCAACATGATATTGAAGCAAATATAAGACTGTTTACATTACCAAGAGATGATTTTCATGCCAATCTATTACGTTTACAAACATTTACAACTCTCAACAACTCATTTATACTAAATATAGCTTTAACAGGGCAATCTACTCAAGAATATCAGTTAAAAATTAGTGAAAAACTGAGTAAAATTAATCTCAGTTTTGATATTATTACATGTCAAGCCGAATCATACATGATCGGTATTGAATTTTTTATTCAAAAACAACAGATGTTTCATCAAGAATTCTATGATATAGCTAGTGAAAAGTATTTGACTACACCAACAAATCTTTATCCTTATCTTTTAATTCATGCAGAATTAGGATCTACCTATTTTTATATTGTTCATTCATCAACCAAATATACTATATGCACATATTCAAATTTATGTTATTCAACTTATCGAAATTTAACCAAATTTTTCTGTCAAGGTGATGAAGATATTCCTCTAGATGAAGAAAAATCTCTACCTTTACGTTCTTCTTCTTTTTCTTATTTATCATCATCATCATCTCATTCACAAGTTCCATCATTTGATTTTACTACGAATGATTTATGTACTAATTGTCGATCATTTCCTTTTACCTCTACTCTTCCTCTAACAAGTTTTACTCGTGTATCACCAAAATATTTACCACAAAATTATAAAACTTGTAAATCACCATATTATATCTATCGTGGATGGTCAAATCGTCGATCAACATCTTATGATGGTAGTACATGTTCATATGATGTTCATACACAAACAGATGATAGTTATTTATCACAATATCAATCGACAAATTTAAAATCAACAATGAAAAAATCTTTACTAAATATGATTACAATGAATATTGCTTTAACAGTAAAATTAATTGTTAAACTTTATCCAGATGTTAATCATTGTTTTCTTACGGGTGAATTTTTTCATCAAGAAAAACAAGCAAATATAGATGTAGCAAAATCTATACACTATTTATTATCTAATAAACATTTGACTATATGTCAAATAAAACGTGAACCATTAATAGCGGCTCTCGGTTGTGCATTACCACGAGTCTACTTCGATATTGTGGAAGATATTCTACCAGGATATGACTGTGTTAAATAAAAGAATATTCGTATCTAAAAAAAATGACATCTATCCATAGTAGAATATAGATGATAGTTTAAATTAAAAAAAGAAAAAGAAAAACAGAAAGTATTTACTTTTAATACAAACCATTATTATTAAGATATATCCTTCATCATTTTTCTTTTTTTTTGTTTTTTTTTTGTAAGTGGAATGAAATTTTTAGATTTTATATTAAGAATTAACTTGCTATTAATACTGAGAAAACATCGAACATTGAAATTATGATCAAGATATGTGTCAACAAATAAATTAGTATTAGTATTTTATCTTGTTAATCTCTATATCTATAGTAATAAAAGTATTTTCATCATTCTACTTTACCTTTGTATTGATTGATAATTTAGTTATGTTGATTTTTGTTATATTTTGTTTTTGTTATTATAATCATCTGAAAATAAAAAACATATATTATTTTCGTAAAAAGACATATATATGTAAAAGATTATTGATACAAATTGAAGATGTTAAAAAAAAGAACATTTTTATTGTTCAAATTTGGGTAAGTGATTAGTAACACCATTGAATCGATATTTCAACGTAACAAGAATTGTATATATTACTCTAACAAATATAAGTGATTAGTCATGCATATACTTGATCAATCAGTATATTGTATGACTTTTTCCACTTGCTAGTAATTATTTCTTCAGATAAAGTGAATTAATGATATTTCTCATTGAATACATAAAAATTTAAGAAAGAAAAAATATTAATTTAATTGTAAAATTGTGTTTAACATGATTATAGTTCATGAACAGTGAATGTGTTTGGTAAAAATATTTTGTTGTTTCATTTATTTTCTGTCTGTGAATAGACGACAACAGTTTCATATCTTAACACCAATCTCGTTTCTCTCTGAAATAAAGAGTGTTTATTACCAGAGTTAATATGTAGTTCTACTAGAGTATTTCTTGATACAGTCTTGATTCGCATCTTACTCTCTGTCATGCTTTTCTTCATACAAGTTTGTTTTTGTTAGTTCCAAATCTTTAATGAATAATAGATATACATATATATATTGATGGTAAATTATTTCCACAATGTCTAGTGATGAAGTAAAATATTTTTAAGTAATTTAATTTAAAAAACATAAAACAGCATTTTTCTTAACGAAATTTTGATACCTATAAAAATGACTTTTTTTTTTTTGTTCACTGTAGCGTGATCAAAAACTGGTAATGAAAATAGCACGTTTAATTCCATGTGATCAACCGGATTTGTTAAATATCACATTGAGATTATTATTGAATTTATCATTCGATCGAGATATTCGTTCACAAATTGTTCGAATTGGACTCTTACCAAAATTAGTCGATCTTATGGGTATGTATTTAATATTATTTAAATAAAAAGAATCTCAATGTTTACTTTTCGCTTATTTATAGAGGATGAAAATCAACGTCTTATTAGTTTATGTTTATTATATCATTTGAGTATGGAAGATAGAACAAAAACTTATTTTACATATACAAAATGTATTACTAGTGTATGTAGTACATTTGAGAAGAAATTTACTATCTGTATACTTCAATTGATAGTAACATACTGTTTTTTTCTTAATTTTTAGTTGATTAAAATGATATTAGATTGTAAAGAAGAACGTTTAGAACCGGAAGTAATTGCACTGGGCATTAATCTGGCATTAAGTCAAGAATGTGCAATGCAAATGTGTGATTATAAGAAAAAAGGTTTAAAAAGTTTAATAAAACGTGCTTATAAATACAAGGAATCGTTGTTAATGAAACTGATTAGAAATATTTCGACACATGCAAATCCAAAGATAAAAAATCAGTTCATTGTAAGTGTATGAACCAAATATTTTTCCTTTATTAAATCACTTCTTCCTCTTATAAATGATAACTTTTGTCAATTATATCGATTTTAAGATGGATGCACAATTAAATAGTCTAAAGTGTCTGCATTTTTTACTCTAGATTATTAATTTATTATGATTTTTTAACACGTTTTCAGAAGATGTGATATCAAGGACTTAAAATACTAGTCTTTTCTTAAAGATATATGAGATTAAATTGTTCTGTACGCATAGATTTGTAGAGCAAATTTTTCGGATCAAAATAGTACAATTCTCTGCTACCTTAGGTAAAAAAATTTCACGTATTTTCCCTACAAATCCTAAAATACACAAATAAATGCATAGTGTTTTCTCTCAAAATCGTTGGCTTTATTCAGAACTGTTCAGATGATGTAGTCCATTCTCTCTTAAAGATATGTATCGATCTATTCTTGTTCCATCCTCTCTATCCGGCTGGAAAAAAATAGTTGCACTCGATTTTTTTTATATATCATCAGTATAAAATACATTTTAAAAAAAATAATTATATATTCTGAAAGCGCTCGTAGTTCTCTATCACCCTGTATATTTATGTCTTGTCTTGCATTTATTTGATGAAAAATAAATTGAGTGCAATGACGGCCCTCTCATCGTCAGATTCCCACGGACTGCATTTTATTACAAATTTCTTTAATTGTTTTTTAAATTTATCATCACTATAGAAATTGCTTTTTATAAAACTAATTATATATTCTGATAGCGCTTGAAATTCTCTATCATCTTATATTTTTCCAGACGGATATATGCTATATGTATCCTGCTCTATCATATGTGTGTCTCTCTATTTTGTACCATCTCTAATAACTCATCCTAGAATATGCAGACTTTGGCTACTATGATGAGTAATCGCATATAAAGACCAAAGCTTTCAGTTATATGAGTCAAACAGTAAGAGATGAGTTCAGGATAGTAGGACACAAGATAGAATAAGAACATTTCAGGTTTACTTTTTGATCATTTAATCCAAGTAAAACTGAAACCTTCGCACTCTATGTGTTCGATTCTACCAATTGTGTAATATTGTTTTGTGTTCTTCATCGCCAGCCTCTAGGAATCATACTATTAAGATTTCTTTCTTGTTCAAGGATTATATTGGTCTGTTTGGTGAAACCTTAGTAAAAGAGGAAGATGAAACATTCTTAACGGAAGTTGTTGGCACACTGGCAAATTTGACTATACCTGATATTGATTATAAAGCTGTCATGGAAGAATATGATCTTGTCAATTGGATCAAAGTAAAACTAAAACCAGGTAGGAAGGTGTTATAAACTAAATGCATCTACATGGTGTACCTGTTTTTAGGCGCAGAAGATGATGATTTAACGCTATGTGTCGTCATATTAGTGGGAACAGTGTGTGCCGATGATTCATGTGCAGAAATATTAGCACAATCAGACATTATACAAATACTTATTGGTTTATTACATGGTACGTACTAATCTTCATTATACTTACTCGTATAAATGATGTTAGTTGCACATTCATAAAATACTATTTACTACGATCGTATGAAACTAAATATTTTTCATACATTTTATTCCATTCATTCAATACTCGATGTTGACTATATTTTTTAAGCTCGTCAAGAAGATGATGAAATCGTGCTTCAGATATGTTATGTATTTTATCAACTATGTTTTCATGCCAGTACAAGAAATGTAATAATCAAAGAAACGGGTATATTAAACAAAATATAAATCATTTTGTTGGCGATTTTTAAAAGAATATATGTTTTGTTTATTTAGAGGCTCCAGCTTATTTAATCGATTTAATGCAAGATAAAAACAAAGAAGTTCGACGTGTTTGTGATATGACTTTAGAAATTATTAGTGTGAGTATTCATACATTCATAAATTAACAATAAGTCCAGTTAATATTCTCTTTTTTCAAATTAAAATTGAAATAATTTTATCAACAGTTTGAGGTGTTGATATAACTACCCGAGTGAATGTACTTGATTGCTTAGTAAACACATTTTAAATAGTTAGAAAAACTGCCAAGTATTTTCAAAACTACTTATGATCCATGAACTTTTTAAAATGTATTTTAAATTTTCAAAAAATATACTTTTTCAAAAATTGCAATACTTGATTTTATTATGATAAAATACTTTGTGAAAGTACTTCTGGTTTTCCTTGACAAGTACTTACAAGTAAATTTGGAAAAAACGTAAGTACTGACTTCATTAGGCAAGCGAACAGGGTTCCCAGCGGAGACGTTACAGTCAACGCGTTTTGTTGCTCTACTAAAGTTGCGTATGTCGCCTCAGCTGAGAATCCTGCAAGCGAAGTACTTATCACTAGCAATATTATATCTCTGTATTAGAAGTACTTAGGATGTATATGTGAATGTTCTATTTGCATTTTCCATATGCTACTACAGAACACATGTGCGTATGTGGTTATATGTTGCTCTTAGGAAAAAAATTACAATTTAGTGTTGTTAAATAGAGAAAGGTATATTTGTAAAATCAAAGCAACCGTTTCTTGAATTGTCACCTATTTTAGACAATAACGTGGATGGTCTAGATTAAATTACAAGCCTTTGCAATGGCGGATCTAGCCTACGGGCGATACGAACGACCGTTCGTACCTTTTAACCAACAAACTGTTTTTTCTCAGCAAAACTCTCTTAGAATAATTTGTTTCTATGGCGACCGCACTTTTATCGTATACCACCCGTTACTGAGCCTTTGCAAGGCTTTGTTCTCAGGTTAAGCTTGATCAGAAAATTCTGTTAATGAATTTTAAAAGACAGAGAATTTTGCGTAGATTTTAGTCATATATTTCTTTTGAAATAGGTATCTACCGTTTTTCTACAGCATGAGACGCACTGAAAGTCATAAAAAACAGCCGTTTAACTAAAGAATTAGAAAGTTTTGAAAACAACATTTTTGTCAGTTAGATAAGTGTAAAAATTTGGTTTTAGTGATAAAAGATGCAGAATTTCTTGGTGGATTCTGATAGTAGATTCATTCAAAATCGTTTTCTGCCAGATTTAAGGAGAAAAATCAATCTATATTTTATAATTAAAATAGCTCATACTAATTTAAGAAAATCCACATCTACTATCAAAAACAATAACAGAACAACAAGACTAATGCGTTCAGATGAAATACACTAAATAATATATTATATACTGAAAAGCTTGGATGTTTTTGTTTCCAAATATTTTTATCTAATTAATATTGCTACTATCTACTCGTTTTTGTAGAAGAATAGAGTATCTTATTTAATTTATGTCTTTACAATCCTTTATTCTTTAACAGGAATGTGATCCACAGTGGGCTAGTCGTATAAAAGTAGCTCGTTTTCGTAATCATAATCAAACATGGTTAGAAACCATCGAAGGTCAACAAGTATCTTATGAAGACGATGAAATTGATCCATACGGATTTGGTAATGTACAATTTGGTGATAATGAAGAAGATGTAGAAAGAATGACTTATTACTATCCAGGTATAACTACCATCAATTCTATATTAAACTCCACTGTTCTCTCTTAAATGTATGTGTTTAGATACATTTCCAAATGATGGTCGCGAATCGCCCGATTTTAATCAATGGAACGGTGGTGGTGATATGGATATTGATAGGTAATATTTCACTAATATTCGTAATACGAGCCACAGTTTGCACGTGTGTGTTTTGTTTGTTCTTACCTGTGTGTGTGTGTGTTTTTCTAGTAAACCATTCTTGAGACCAGAATCGGCTGTAACTAATCGTCTAAACAGACCGACAGCAACAGCCGGCAATGGTAGTGCACGTAGACATCAACATCATTTAACATCATTATCTAACACTACTACTATTAGAAAAAAAAATGGTCATGAATAACAAAATGCACATACACGCACTATATTTAAATTAAACGTAAGAGTGGGGCATTTAATTTATTGTGTTTATTTTATCTTTAGAAATATGTTGATGTGTAACCATCTATCACCAAGTTTACTTTTTAATTATCAACACAGCTTCTTGCATTACGCTTCAGCTTAATTTTAGAGAATTTCATTTGAATTGATCTTTTTTCTTTAAAATTTTTATACTTAACATGTTATTGTTGTTTTAGAGAGCCTTATACATATATGCGAGATGATGGTGAAAATATGGATATTGATGCTGGTATGTTTATTAATCCACGTTCAGTCAAATAGAAGGATTAAATCGTCGTTTATTTTTATATACGTATTTCGATGTCAAATTATTTTATTGTTATTCGTGTAATTTATCTTTATTTCCTTTTGTAATAATATTTTACTTGTGTGGTGAGATATATATATTTGTTACAGTAATGTTTAAGTTTTTATTAGAAGTACAAATGGATCATGTTCAACTAAAAAATCAAGTTTCGAAATAATGATTAAGAAGAGTTAAAGAGCCTTGAAAAGAAGATTAGTAAAATCATCTAACATCTTAGAACGGTGGCTATTACTTCGTTGATACATCAGAGAGTAAAGATGTAGAATGAATGATGGAACTAGACACTTAAAAGATCTTAAAACTATTCTCAGAAAAAATTGGTCAAATCAATTATTCACTCCTTCTATCAATCATAATGAAAAGTTCCTCTTAGCTCTTCTTCACTATCCAGTGCTCCGTCGACATAACTGACGAGGAAACCTCACGAGATGCCCACTTCCGATTCCAATGACTTGTACATGAATCGGTAGGCCTCAGTGAGTTTTTCTGGAAAACCAGAGAACTCGGTCTTCTGGAAAACCAGTCTTTCAGAAACTCTAAAAAATAACCAAAACCTTTTCTTAATGAAGTATGATTGTGGCCTGCAAATTTTTGATTAAAATGAGACGTCTCCCAACTCTACACGACCTTTCTTTGCAAAGTTATAGAATTTACAAGAAAAGCCCCAAATATTTATTGTCAGCTCAAAGCTACAGAAATAAGAAGAAATTAATTTAGGGCTTTCACAATCATGCCTCATTAAGAAAAGGTTTTGGTTATTTTTTAGTGTTTCTAAAAAACTGCATTTCCAGAAAACCGTGTGTTCAAGAGTCATGTGCCCGAATCCTTTTAGGGTATTTACTACCTTACTGAGGTCTATCAATCCATGTACAAAGCATTTAAATCGGAAGTGGGTATCTCGGGAGGTTTCCTCGTGAGTTGACTCTTTTTACCCCGTGTGGCATAAAAAAGAGTTAATCAAAATCACTCGACTTGCATAGAATATATCCAAAAAACCAATATAAATGTTCAAGAAATCTTTGCATTAGTGCGTACATAATTATCGGCTCTACCGCCATGGTTAATATCGGATTCTTTTAGTTAAAAACGGATGAGACATAGTGAAATTACAAAGAAAATTTCGTGCACTGACTCTTTTAATCCCATAGTACTTTACATCGAAAAGTTAAAAAGAGTCATTTTTTATTACTTCAAAAGGAGGTTGGCAATGGCAATTCATACATAAAGAGATCATGATAAACATGAAATTCGCAGCTCTCTACGGTACGACATCTACAAAAAAAGCGGTATATGGAATAAAAAAACAAAACTAGTGATTATACAATGAATTTTTCGGATTATTATATGTGTAGAAAGTCTCATCTTATGACCAACTTTTCTCATCTAACACTCTGGTAAATATTTCATTTCATAGGAAAAATTTTTAAACTACAATTTGACATATATATCTGTCGAACTATTTTCTGTATGTTACATATGTAACATACAGAAAATAGTTGACGAAGTATCGTAAAATGCAAAATATTTGTTGAACAATTCGTAGTACCTCCTGGTTTCGATTCGAAGAATAAACAAGTTCTATCATTCGACAAGCGTTTCTTCGCACGACTTTTTCGACCAAACTGAGCGAAGACATAACGTGATTTATCAGTAGAACAAAAAGGAAATACCTTCTTTCGAAGAGTGTACAGAATGAACTGCATAATCTAAAACATATTGATATATTTACTTCAAAAAAGCTGAAAATAGTATTACCAAAGCAAAAACATATAAGAATCAAATTTTGATCTTTCAATTTCTCAAAAATAAATCATTTTCGAGTTACGTACAGCATGTTCTGTTTTTAAGTTTTTTTGATGAAAAAACTTTGTCACAAAAATGACGATTTTTTGACGAAGAAAATAGAAGGGTATATTAAATGGTTGAAACGTACTCTAAAGAACCAAAATGGATCTTATCACCATCTAATAACCCGAAAAGGATTTTTTGATAAATTGAAAACTCGCACATTGGTCTTATACATTTTCTAGACTTATCAAGATAAAACGACATTATTTTTATCTGCACCATATAACAGAATATGATTTTCACCTAGACTATTGGATGAATGACATTGAAGTAAAACAATAATTCTTAGCATAGACGTTTTATTCAGCAAACTCACAAATTTAACAGAAAAGGTTCATGGGAAAAGATTTTCACGGATATTTTTTCTGGCCAAAACTTATTGTTTTATACATGATTCGATGTAACTCAACACGCTAATTTCGAATATGACATTACGTTTTCTTAAAAGTGCTCCTGGCATAAGTAAAACAGGTTTCACCTGAAAAACCAGGGTTGTCTCGGGAGTTCAAGTCCAAAACAAAAACTTTTTTAGTCATTAATAGTCAGACAGTTCTAATTTCATTTTCTGATCGTCTTTCAGATTCAAATTTGTTAAATATTGTAAAAATTCTTTAACGAAAATCTCATTGTTTTTAGGCCTATTTTTGGCTAAGTGTTTCCCGAGTACTTTAGTACCTAGAACAGAAATTCTTTCGCCATTCAATAGGCCATCTATCAAGGTGTATTCATCCCTCTTCGAATCTGAAAACGCGTACTTTCGTTTTTTGATCAAAAATCTGTTTGGATGCCTACTATGCGTTGTCGTCTAAAAACATGGTTGACTATTACTCCTGAATGTAGTTGAAAGGCAAACTGTTAAATTTGCTTCCGTGCTAACATTACAATAGAACTTTTGGCCATCTCTGTTAGATCCATTTTTTTTCAACCAATCATTAAACTAAACTGGCACAATGTATGGAAATTTCTAAAAAAAGTACGATGTTCATTATACCAAAATAATCAAAAGGCACTCAAGAAACAGAAGCGTGTACCGATTGGCATTATCCATTTTCTAATGTTGAAAAACTTATCTATAATCAAAATTACATGGCACCATATTTCATGAAAACCGTCTAACTAACAGTCAACGTTTTTTGTAAGTACACTACTTTTTGCCAAGATCACAGCGTTTTTCAAGCAAGTGCATACAGACCTGTGAGACGTCTTATTTTTAAAGAGTAAACATTTTTTTGATGAGAAGGCAAACGTTGACGGTTTATCTCGTGTCTGCCTACACGCTTCAAATTAAATGCTCAATTCAACAATCTTAAGTCAATGAATATAATAATTATTAAGATTTTCTTAACTATCAATCCAAAGAAAAAGAGTCTAAGAAATATTTGCTTTTAAAATACGATGCCTTCGAGCATTCTATAAGCTTCTGTTACTACAGTATAACACGATCAATTTGATAAGTAAGGTAGTGCACTGAGGGTAGAGTCCTGCGGTAACAAAAAAATCCCATTACTTTACCATTACCATGGTAATGGTAATGGTAATGGTAAAAAAAAAATTTGGATTTGTGGTAATAGATGGTAAATGGTAACAAAAATTTAAATTC